TATCCATATGGGACTCCGCCGTAAATATGGTTATCTATTTAGTACTCTATTGGAAATAAGCTTACTGAAGAAGCTTATCATTTCGGTACTCCGTTATGGATGAATATTACCCCCGGCATAAGATTATCTATATCTGGTACAATAGCAACTTACAAGAAGCTTACACAGCAGCTTGCAGTAGCAGCTTACAAGCAACTTACACAGCAGCTTGCAGTAGCAGCTTACATAGCAGCTTCCTTTATTCTATAAATAGAGGAGATTTCAGTTCATTATATACATGAATTTGAAGTTGAATAATCTCTCTGTACCTGTCTTTGATTTCTTTACTTTAAAGTCATTATTTTATAACACTTTGATAAATTTTTCTAGAGTTTTAACTTATATAAGTGAAACTTCATGCTATTGTTATGGAGTTTTACTTGTAAAGGTTGAAACTCCGGGATCTTGGCTATTTTTTGAACATATATTCGAAAAGGGATAAAGTACACATATAGCTCTTAAAGTGAATAGTATTAAAATATTATATCTATTTACTTTATGAGCAGAACTTTAAATTTAACAAGTATTGTTCCTCACTTGTCTCATGAGCAGCACTTTTAACCTTAAAATTTTGCCCATAAAATAAGTAGAGCCAAAAGTTAAAAGACCACCCCAAAAAACAATTTATACATTATTCATGGGGCAAGTGCACAGATAGCCATTCTCAGGAATATTATTTAGAGATTAGTCAGTACTTATTTTATTCTAAAATTAAAACTAAAAATCTTAATTTCAGCACAATTCAGAACATGTTATAAATAGAATTTTATTTATAGTGAATGTCTATATTTAGAGAGATTCTAGGGTTCATTACTTGGTGGCTAAGTCACCATCTCCCTGTAAATAGAGGGTTCTATTCCATTGTAATTGATCCCATATCAATAAGATTTTTTTTTCTCTCTATCTCTACTTTGCTCTGTAATACTCTTCTTCTTTTATTATTTTATAACACGTTATCAGTACGAGACTCTAACCTATTGAGTAGAAGCTTTGGGATTGAGCATAATGATTGTCAATTGTTCAATGAACTTCCTTCATGGTTAAATTTTGGATTTAAGGTAAGTATTTTACTTTATTTCTCTCTTTTAAATTCTTGAATTCTATAATTTGATTTTAAATACAAGCAAAGACAATAAACTTTGATTATAACTCGAATAGAGTTTGTAAGAAATTATAACCACTCAAAGTGGTAAAATTTCTCTATCTTGCCATGATCAAATTCATGTATGATTGTGGGCAAAGAAGTGAAAACGCGTCCCATTGAATTTGCTTCATTCTCACTCCCTTAAGAGAATGTGATAGCAATATATGATACGTCTGAAAGAAGACAAAATTATTACCATAAAGGTATCAATGGATGTGGACGTGACAATAGACGAAATTATAATTGTCTCATTGTGATAATAAGAATAATAAGGATTCTCAAAATAATCCTTCACTCTGTGAAAGTAATATTTGTCATCGATTTGGCATGAGATTTTGTAAAGCACATATAGATGATTATGGTCCATTCATGATGTGAATGTGACAACATCTGATTTATGAAGACATATTCATTCTTGGAAGAATATGAACGTGCTAGTAATAGTGAATATACCACACTCACCTCTGGAGGGAGGTTTGAGATAAAATAAGAAAATAATATCATTATTATGGCATGAATGATCACTGGTCACGTACCTGTTGTACACCAAAATATTTTTGCAATGTGATTATTAAAGAACAACAGTGATGCAATAAACAAATCTTGCATATAATTTTGACAATTACCATAATGGTATAACTTTTTCTTTAAAAGAGATATTTACCATATGGATGTTGATGAATATGTGGTACTACAAAATTAATTGAGAACTCTGCAAGAGCCAATTATACTATTTTGGAGAAACACAATTGATTACCAATAAGGTATTGTGTTGTAGTAAGTCTCAAAGAAGCTTATTCAGTTTCCAAAGTATACGCGAAAGCGGTTGATTATATTGATACTATAAATAAAAGAAAGATTTAATATATTCTATTACTACAACTTGTAGCGGGGTAATATGTATGTAAAAAATTTCCCGCTTTATTCTCCAGTTTGTACAATACAAACAAAAGAATGCCACAATAAAATAGAAGTTTATTGATATAAAAACCCATATCATAATAAACTTAGAGTTTATTGATGATTGCATACATCATGGTGTAAACCTGAACTTTATCAATATTGATAATTTATTCAGTTGGCATAATTGGTTTAACCATGTTAATTTAAGTATGATGTGAAAAATAAAAGAGAATTCACATGGGTAAATATTAAAGAACTAGAAAATTCTGTACGAATTCTCTTATGTTGTTCTCATTAATTAATAAACCAACTAAAATTGGGGATTAAATCTCATGAATGCTGGAAATATCAAAGGTGAATATGGACTCATTCACCTGCCATGTATATCACATAAGATGCATCTATGAGATGGTTACATGTACAGTTATTATTAACTTGCAACATGGTGTTTTACGAGATAACTTGCTTAGTAATTTAATTTCGAGCAAATTTCCAGATTTTCTATTCAAGAAGTTCATCTTGATAAGTTGGTTTACATCATAGTTGGTTTAGCAAAATAATTTATTGAGTGCCCCCACTTAATAGCTAAACTATTGCTTATGAGAATAAAGTTATCTATATTAGTTTGATATAGGTTATATACGAAAGTATATTACATTCTCCCCTCACAAGTGCTTCACGGTCAGGAATCAAATAATTTCATCGTGTTATTATTAATGTGCAGTGTATATTTTGATTAACACCATAACGCACAAAGATGGATTTTCAAAATTGAGGAAAACAAGTTAGTTTTTCCAACATGAGGAGGAGAGACGTTAAACAGTTGAGGAAAAGTTACGTGGAATGAATTATCATTTGTACATTTAGATCCTCGAATAAGATAATATGAACTTGAAGTTCATAAAAAGATAATTCATTTGCAATATATTGCAAAGCATGCTAGATGTATTTGCTGACTCAAAGAAAGTAACTATATACTTATTGGAAATGCTCATATTAAGTCCTAAAAGGACAAAGCCTATAATACGCTTAAAGCGTATAGATAAATCGGTTTCAAATAAACTTCTTCATAATGAAGATGAGCAAATGATCATAATAAAGGAAGCAAGTGATCTAGAAGATCACATGACATAAAACTTCATAAAATCTCATGAGAAGTTCAAGTACCTAAAAATATGAATGAAGAGATCTCTATGTTATATCTTTACGAAAAATAAGCAGGTTGGAACCGATATAAAATGTTCGTCTACGAACATCTAGGATAGCACTAAATATATATGAGGATCTTAAGTCTGAAGAAACAATTCGAATAGAATTGGTTTCATATGAAATACATGTAGTTTTGGACATGTAGTTCAACAACTTGAAAATATAAAGTCAATGGTGTGTGCAATCACTTTTATCTATCTTATATGTCTATGCATGACATAAAAACTTGATATGCATCTAAAGTCTATTTATATGGCTTATTTGATTATACTTATATGATAATCCCTGAAGGATTCAAATTGCTTAAAGCATAAAATTCTTGATCTTTAAGTACCACATCCTCAATGCAATTTATGCATAAATGTATCTTGCTATAACTATAAGCATGATAATGTGATAGCGAGATACCTCTATGGAGATATTGAAGAGCCATTCCACGATATTTATGAAGACATTATATATCTATCACGAATGATGATTTCACGGTGCAAAATATTCATTCAAGTTAATATGGCTGATTTATTTTTCAAATCTCTACCAACAATCTCTTGAAGATGGTGCACAAGATTGGAATGCGAAGGCTCAAGGATGTGATTGATGCTCTCATTAGGGAGAGTTAATGTGCGTTGCACTCTTTTTCCCTTATAAGGTTTTGTCCCACTGGATTTTCCTTGCAAGGTTTTTAATGAGGCAACCAAAAGGCGTATTGTTAGATATGTGTACTCTTTTTCCTTTACTAGAATTTATTCCCACTGGGTTTTATTTTAGTTAAGGTTTTAACGATGCACATTATATGTTGAATAAACATTCAAGGGGAGTGTTATAAATAGAATTTTATTTATGGTGAATGTCTATATTTAGAGAGATTCTAGGGTTCATTACTTAGTAGCTAATTCACCCTCTCCCTATAAATAGAAGGTTCTATTCCATTGTAATTGATCCCATATCAATAAGAATTCTCCCTTTCTCTACTTTGCTCTGCAATACTCTTCTTCTTTTATTATTTTATAACAAAACATTTTTTCTCCTGAAAAATTGAACGATTCAGGACACGTTATTTAATTCCTAAATAACAGCCCTTTAAAGTGGCTATCTAGTGTCATCTCTATGTTATTCATTGACCATGTAACTATTGGGCCTCATATTCCAAACATACCAGCTTGGTCCATGGGCCTTCTGCTAACACTTATCGCTATGCCCAGCCCAAGAATAACTTGGCGCGAAATCTGACTGGCATACGAGACACGTCATCATCCACCTCACCATTCCCGCCAAAATCATCTACCTATAAATTTCTTTCATCCTTCTCTGTTTCACTTTTCGCCTCTCATCAGTAATGGAGTTCACGGAATCTTCACCGCCGCATCGCAAATCATCTCCGGCGAATTCAGTTTCCCGTAAAAAATCCGCCGGTGTACTAGCTCCGGTGCTGGACCAATGGAGCACAAAAACACCAGAGAAACCGATAAATCCTCCTTTCAATGTCCAAAATCGCAGCGCCTGCTCCCTAGTCTCGTTGAAAGACGTCAGAGAAGCAGCTCAGAAGCTACGAACACCAGCCCCAACCCGACGCGAGCTGATTTATGACCCGTTATTTAGCTCCGATGAGCAGAAATGTTCGTCGGTATCTGAATCGCCAGTGGCTGAACAAAAGAAGCGTGTAAATTCAGTAATGCTGCCGGTAAAGTGAGTGCTTTTTGGATTCTTCGTTTCCAATAGTGCTTGTCACAAGTTATTTTCGCTTGATTTTGATTAACTTTTATAGTAAAATTTAATTTGAAGAAATCTATAATTTGAACAAATAATAAGATATTGATTTGCATAATTTTTATTAGTCTCAAAGTTAATAATACTTCATCGATCTGGAAAAATTGTGATCAACGCATCTAATTTATGTGTGTGTTCAGATATGGAGTTATTAATGTACTTTCAAATAAAAAATTTGTAATTAAAAAATCTGACACCAATCTGGGATTGAATATAGGTGTTCATAACACGCAACGGAAGATAAGAACAATCCTCGGTAGAACTTTTCGTGTTTAAAATTTATTTACATATAAAAGATCGGATCTAAGACATACCTGGTTGAAAGAATCTTGTTTCAAAATTTCTTTGATAGTGCGAAGACCCTAGCGTATCCACACCGAGATTGGTCCTTGCTATTAACTCTTTGATCAATGAAACCCCGTGAACAAATTGAATGAAAATATTGTGTTGAAATATTTCTCAAAAATCCCAACTCAAAGGTAGAAGACAAGAAACAATTTTCTTGTACTAGTATTTTCTATCTTGGTTTTATATTGCACTATTACTTTCTCAAAGTAATTTTCTTTTTAAGAATAACTGTCTTGGTTTCTTTACAATATGTATAAGATCTATATGTCTCACTAATTCTTAATTAGGACTCACACACATATATATACACATAATTTCCATTGGAAAGTACAAATCACATGTCTTATGGTAAATATTTTAAAAAAAAAATGTAACTTATTTATGGAATTCAATTCTAAATTGAATTCTACAACTTAGTCAACATTTTAAAATAAAAACACGTAACTCATTTATGGAATTCAATTCTAAATTGAGTTCTACAACTTAGTCACAATTTTAAAATAAAAACATGTAACTCATTCATGGAATTCAATTCTAAATTGAATTCTATAACTTAGTCAATATTTGAAAATAAAAACATGCAACACATTTATAGAATTCAATTCTAAATTGAATTCTTTTATTAATATTTTCCTATTAAAAAATTATCTCCCATATCAAATGGTTTGAAAATTGTAGACAATACCATAAGGACTTTCCATGTTAATTAATCCAATTCAAAATTGGATTTACTAACAAGACTTTATTAATATTTTATATAACATCTTTTATATAAAATAAGTGCTAATTATATATATCACATATATATATTTTAACCAAGAGATATAATTTTGTTTTTCTATTCTAAATAGAATATTTCAATTTGTTCACAATATTAATTATATCCTCTGTGCTAGCAAAGAATATAATAATATTTCATTTGGATTAATAACTAAATTTATTTGACTAATTAAATTCTTTAATTTAATTATCAAATAATAAAGCAATTAATCCTTTAGCAAAGATCAGAACACTCGTTAGTGTGCGACCCCATAGGTTCAATACTAAGCCGGTAGTAAATTGATCACATCAATATACTGATCAAGGGTGGCGTCTAGCAACACTCCTTAACGACCGGATAACATGAAGTATACAATTTACTCTCAAGAACCTGTAGAAGACTAATGTATTAATTCCTTCTGTCATTATAGCTCTGGGTCACCCTAGGATATGGTTCAACTGCCAAATCCTAATAAGCGACCAACTATGTGTTCATGTCAAAATATAATCAACCATTGAATGACCTAAGAAACTCTTTTCATCTTTCATTCAATCGCCCTGGCCAAGGTCTTAATTTGGTCAGTTATAATTCATGACAACATGGAGCTTAAACTCATTACCAAGAGTTGACAGATTCCATCTTGATCAATCACTAATTCTACAAGTATTTAATCATGCCCAATATCCTTTCAACTATCGCCCTAGGGCCATAGGTGTCTAGTATCAAAGTACAATAAATAGCTTGTCAATTACTATGATGATATCAGGTCAAAGGAAGTTCTTAGATCACATTCTTCCAGAGAATATCCCATTGACAGTTTATGGTAATTCTAACCATTAGGAATTATCCAATGAGTCGGTTCAATGATCATATCTCTATATGCATCATCTATCTATGTGATTTAGTTAATGAGATCAACTAATCTTTATCCTATAAAGATGATCACATAGATATTGATCTAACCGGATTATTAATGTCCAAATTAATAATCCTATGATCAAGAACAAAATTTAGATTAAATTATAAGAGACTTCACTCTCATTATCATGATCTCCATCACAATGTCAAGTCTCAAAATTTAATCAAGGACCTTATCAAATTAATCAAGCAATTAATAACAATGATAAATGAATATCAAATGCCATATATATATATTTTATATGAAATAACGTTCACAAAAAAATATGTTCAGATCATTAAATATGATATTGGATCTAGGGCATATCTAATATATCCCTAACATAAGCACTATAAATTAGAAGTTTAAAGTTAAATATAATTTCATTAATGTTTGAGAAAATATACTAGTAAAAGTTAGATTGTTTGATTTTTCAAATGGTAATAGTTTCACTATTTTTTAACAAAGGAGTAAACTTTGATCAAATTATAGAACAGATGGCTTTTGAAAAGCCAAAAGTGACTGAAAATTAGGGGACAAAATGAGTACTACATTTACCTTCTCCAATTCAAGATTGTTGTCTATAGCTATTGCAAAATATTAGCTTCTGAATAAAGCTTTCTTTTTCCCCTTCAAAATCATTAGCTTCTGAAAGTTGCATGTAGCTTAAGAGTTTGAACAAATAAGCTGAAAGTAAACAGAAAAGTTGGCTATGACCTGGGTGTGGCCTAGATACCACCGTTATAACAATAGTTTTAAAAAGGTTGGCTAGGAATTTTATTAAAAACACTTGTGCTTCTGGAACTATGGTCTCTTCAATCTTGGCTATTGAATGGTGTAGCATATGTATGAATATCTAGATTAAATGGAGCACACAAGGAATGATCCATGTTAGAGTTAAATTGAAGGTTTTGATAACGACAATAACAAGTGGAGTATCATTTATTAGCTCGTAGTGGTAAAAAGTATCACTTGGTCGGCTTTTCTTCTGTGGTTCTTAACATATATGTTTGTGTTAGTGTAGGTACGAAATGTTGGAAAAGTTCTTCAACAGCATGTATAGTTCAATTCGGCTGCTGCATTTGAAGGGTTCTGCAACAACTTTCACTAATATTAGTGCCAAAGTTCAGAATTTGACTGATAAGTATGAAAATCACAAATATTCAATCATTAATAATCACGTTGTTCTCTATATCTAAAGGAAGACTAATTCTTTATCTTTTGACTTCTAGGAGGTTTTCTTACAGCCATTTAGCTCAGCTGAAGTTTATTTTACCTGAAGCAATTGAGATACAGAAGATTCTCAAGCATGATGAGCTCACTTGCTGTATGAAGCCAGATCTTTATGTAACTTTAAATGCCAATGCAATTGAGGGTAGTGAGAAGTGGAAATCTAACACTAGCAGTGTTCTGTTAAGGAAAGTTTTCCGCTCTCGGCTCTTGGATTTCTTCAAGTCCCACCCTGGGGTAAGCAATTCTTCTAACGTTTTCATTTATTTAAAGAATGATTCTACCCAAGTATAACTCGATGCACTATTGATTTTTATTGGTTAAATTTACTTGGAAAGACTAGCATGGTCTCAGGTGTGCCTGTTCTACTTAGTTCTTAGTTGATATTTATCTTTGTTGTTATGCGAAGCTCTGCATTTTCCGTAAGACACCCTCCAACTCTTTTTCGTCTGCTCTGATGCTTCATTTGCAAACAACTGGTCTTGACTTATTGAGAGAAATATAGACCCGTTAACAGTATAGCAGAAGCAGAAGTTTCATATGGAGAAGTCGAGATTTTGAGTTTCTGGGTCTTTTGCTGTATGACACGTTCTCTGACAAATGATACATATGTTTCTAACATTTACATTGTGGAGAAGATCTTAAGTTTAATCATATTGTATAGTGCCTCTGGAACATTATAGGTGCTTTATACCGTATCATATTAAACTTGTCTAGGAATGAAGCCAGAGATGAAGCGCATAAAGATTAGTATTCTAGAGTTTCATGAAGATTCAAAGTAGTTAGGTTGCTGCTTTTATGTATAAAAGGAAAAGCTTAATATAAGGGAAGCAGTTTTGAGTTTATACCATATTTTCTGCAGTTTAGATCACAACTGTTCAGCGACCTGTATTTTACTCATCTCAGCATTGAAATAACCAGCACAAACACTTTTACATATATGTTGTCAGCTAAGATCTCGTTAAAGTAGATTTGAATGTTATACCTGAATCATATTGCCCCCTGTATCCCTCTAAAGAAAAATGAAAGGAAGATGATGGATGATGTTATTTCCATGACAGCAATTTCTCTATCATTGTTGGCAATAACTACTATTTCTGCATTTTCAGGGTGATGACATTCCTGAGGAAACGCTGCCTGGGCCATTCTCACAGTCTAAGCAACCAGTGACCAACTCGTCTAGACCTTCTGTCTCGTCCTTAGCCAATGAGACACCTGATGGTGCATTTTTGCTGCAGTCAGTAGCTGCATCACACCTGTCTGGCTCTTTTAGAAGATGCTTTTCAAAACAGGCATGTATTACTGGAGGAAATGCCAAGGAAGAAGATAGAGCTGGGCTTGTGCCAGTTTCAATACCCCTCAAAGTCGAAAGTTCCACTAAGAAGAAAACAGTAGCATGTGCTGATGCTCCTAAGTTATGTTCAAAACAAACTAATATGAAATATTCATCAGGAGGGATTGTTTCGGCTAGTTCACCATCATGTCATCCACCTGCAACTCCGATGATCGAAGCCAAAAAGGGAGAGAATGGTTCTATGTCAGCTCCAGCTACCCCTTTGCTTGAACCTCCTAATAGATGTTACATGAGTCCAGACGATGATCCAGGTGAATCACCAATAAAACTAGCTAGACACTCATCGACTAGAAGGTCATTGTTCTTCGACACTCCTGTGCGGAATGCAAATGCTGCTGATCAAGTCCGTGAGAGTGAAAGGTTTTCAACCGATGATATTTTAGACATTCTTCCCGAGAATCTTCTGAACTCGGTAAGACAAGATGAACTTGCATGTCAATCTTCCTTGATAGAATTTGTTTAGACTAGCTCCATACGAATCATTGAAATTCTCATCTCTCGTAGTAGTTAAGCTACAAAAATTTGTCCCTCTGCATCTTTAGACTTTTATACTAACATGAGCGTATCCTGTAGCTTATGTTTGTCATTCATGAATGATGAGATTATTGGGTGATTTTTCCCAACTTCTGATTCCACCAACGAGAAGTTGACTTGTATGACTCCACAGATGGGAGAAAAAGAGAGCAAGGCACTAGAGCAGCAAGACCCAGCCATATCTCAGGCAAAAAGGCGCAAACAGATGATTGCGTGTTTGCCTCGCCTCTTTGACATGATTTATTTCCTATTTCAATCTATTAAGCGTTCTGTCATGACGAAAGAAGAGCTCATGCACAGACTAATTTCCAAACAGACGGAGCTTGCTGATAAAAGTAAGCCTAGTTGATAACTTGTGTGCTTAATAACCTTTTAGTCCTTTTCGATTTATGCAAGCTTCTTTTTAATCTTGATGTTTCATTAATGCAGGAGAAGTTGAAGAGCAACTTATATTACTGCAAAAACTAGCTCCTGAATGGATTTATGAGAAACCAACATCTAGTGGAGTTCTCCTCTTATGGTAAGCTTCCATTCTTGATATCTGTTTGCCTTTTCTATTACAACGATTCATCCTTCACGTTTTCTTGATCATTTTCCTTCACTCAACTTTTGATGTTTGTTATATTTTTGCAGTCAAAATTCTTTAAAAAAAATGTTTGAAGTTTTATTGCCGTTATTCTTATTATGCAGTGTTAACAAGATATCAAATCCTGACACAATTCGATCAAGACTGGCTGAAGCCAAGTTAGAGAAGCAAGAAAATGGTGATGGTACGATATTTTACCAACTTAGCAAGGAATGACGATTTAGTTGAAGTTTGTAAATAATAGTGTACTGTTTTGTTTAATTAGGTAGATATATTTACAGTACCACTTCTGCAGCACAACGGATAGTGGAGTTCTGACTTTGTCTCGTATAAAGTCCGCAAGTCGACTTTATATGAGACCAACTTTTATTTTTTGGTTTTTCATCCGATGTGCGGTATCTATATTTGGTCCTACTAAATTCGAATTCGCGTCGGAAAGTTTCACATTGGTAATAAATCGCTTTCTAACAAAGGCGATTCCATATCCAGGGCTCGAATTTGAAACCTCTGGTTAATAATAGAATAAGATCAACTATTATGATCATTCTAGGTTATTTAATTCTTTGTTTTTAAGGTTTATTTCTTAAGATTTTCAATTTTTGTGAAGTTACGGATCTTCTCCTTTAAAATTGTTCAAACAAAATAAGCATAATATCATAAGCATCAGTATCGAAAAATATAGATGGTACAGACTCTCAAAGTTCAAATGAAAAAGAAATGACATTTTTCTATACTTTAGAAGAGCAACACTTTCGATACGTGTGCTTCAATTCTTTTCAACAAAGCTTGAGGGCATTTAGGTCATTTCACATGACCTCTATACGTGCCCTTTTATGCGCTGTTCAGACACTACGTGTCGCTTTTCTCATATCAATGCTGACAACAGCCCTGTCTGGATAATCCCAGACCTTTCTTCTCTCATCCATCACTGTTCTCCTTTTCTCTCTGTTAGACCTTCTAAGTCTGAAGTGCTTCCTCTCTCTAGTAAGTGCTCAATTTACAAATTTAACTTTCTAAAGCATCTTTTAATTGAATTTATGAAAAGAAAGTAGAAACCTTGAAACTGCAAAAGCTTCATGGCGAGCCCTTCCGTTGAGTGAAGATAGAAATACAGTTCTCTAATCTTGAGTTGTCTTTGAATTCACACTTAATGACTTGTTAATTGTGGGGAAGGAAAAAGGGTGTATCAAAATATTTGAAGAACCCCTCCAAGTTTTCTCAAGTGATTGTATTCTGAAACGGTTTGTAATTATGTGAGGAGTCTTTTCCAAAAGGCATGATGAAGTTGTAACCGTATGAATCTGTTCAGTCACATCTTTTAGAAAAGAAATACTTAAGGAAAAATAGAGAAAATTCAATTAGTCTATGACAAAATTTGGGATTTTCACCCAAATCAGTGTATGTTTGGAGTTGTTCCCCGTTCCAGTTAAGATTGAATTCAATTTCGACAGAGATCCTTTTAGCCCCTTTGAGCATATTTGCTGATCTTATTGATTTAAGAGCTATGGGTGTAAGTGATGATTGAGGATGTGATAATTTACCTTATAAACTGTTGGATTTTGTTTAATAACAAAAGAAGGGTGAATGGAAAATTGTGGGAAAGAAATGGAGGGAAGTGAAATTCTGAATGAGTTCACTAATGCACTTTGTCCCTCATTGGTAGAAAGAAAGAAAGTCTTGGTGTTTATATAGAGAAATTCATCTTTTAGCTCTTGAAGAGCTAGTAAGAAGACAAGCCTCGCGCCGTTGCTCGGCTTCGGCTTCGTCAAAGATTGATTGATTAATCTTTTTGGACAAATTTTTTTTTAAATATTTAATTAAATTAATTAAAGAAAATTCAATTCGAAATAACCAATGGCCGGCGACCCAGTCTGGTCCGGCCCGCTTTTCTTTCCTGGATTAATTTAAATTCGTTTTAAATTTCCCGTAAAAAATTTTCAACAGTCATGACTGTTCTGAAAGGTTGCAAACCTCTTCAGAGTGTCACACCTGTTCCAACAGCTATGATTGTTCTGAAAGGTTGCAAACCTCTTCAGAAACATCACCAAGTTGGCTATAAATAGACCTTTAAATCCCAGAATATTAACTTACGAAATTTTCTGAATCTTCTTCTTTTTCTGCACAAAATATTCTAGTGTGTTTTACGACCATTGAGTGGTTCACCGATCACCAGAGTTTTAGGTACCGATACACTGGTGAGTTAAATCGTTCTATCCTGGGAGGATATATTCCAAAACCTCGGGTACTTGAGGGGAATATTTCCTTAAGGACACACTGTGTATTCAGTGGGCTCGATTTGTTCCTACAACGTTTTTTTCAGAATTTATTTTGAAGAAGTTTACTATTTTCGGAATTTAATTTCTACTAACTTTCTGTTTCTGTTTTCAGAAAGATTATTACTTAATATATTTACTGCAATACAGATTGATAACAATCTTAAGGAAATTACTAATTATATTCTGTATTTTGTCGGAATTTTATTATTCTGATTTGAAGATATAAAAACTTCATCAGAGTATTAAAATTCAGAAAACGATTTGAAGAATATAAAAACTTCATCGTTTTTTCGGAAAAACAGTATATGAAAACTTCAGTTGTTTTTATTACGTACTGTTTATTAATTACAGTATTATTTACTGTTTTGGTTTTGCCATTAATTGATCTCTTCTGTTGTACACTGTAAGAAATGACAAATGAGAATGGAATTCTTTCCGCGACTGTTGGTGCAACGACGATAGCCTCGTCAATCCGCNGTGTCACACTTGTTCCAACAGTCATGACTGTTCTGAAAGGTTGCAAACCTCTTCAGAAACATCACCAAGTTGGCTATAAATAGACCTTTAAATCCCAGAATATTAACTTACGAAATTTTCTGAATCTTCTTCTTTTTCTGCACAAAATATTCTAGTGTGTTTTACGACCATTGAGTGGTTCACCGATCACCAGAGTTTTAGGTACCGATACACTGGTGAGTTAAATCGTTCTATCCTGGGAGGATATATTCCAAAACCTCGGGTACTTGAGGGGAATATTTCCTTAAGGACACACTGTGTATTCAGTGGGCTCGATTTGTTCCTACAACGTTTTTTTCAGAATTTATTTTGAAGAAGTTTACTATTTTCGGAATTTAATTTCTACTAACTTTCTGTTTCTGTTTTCAGAAAGATTATTACTTAATATATTTACTGCAATACAGATTGATAACATAAACATGCCAGTCCTTGAAATGTTTTTTCTTACTCTTCCCCATTCTGCTATGTTCATGTGTTGCTTCTAGGTTTAATAAGTGTAATGAATCACCAATTGTTGGCTAGATTAAGTTAGCCTGCTATGTGTTTGTGAAATTGCCTTCTGAAACCTTTAGTTCTCAAACAAAGAGGCCATTTTCAATGCATTAAAAAAAGGGAGTGAAGAGCAAAATACATTGCCAGGTGAAGGTTCATGAAGATTCCAAAACACATAGGTTTCTATAATATCCAATCCTCCATCTTTTGCCTTTTATATAATCCCCTCCCACATCTGCATTATATAATAGACCATCCCCTGCAGAGCTCGTAAATACAATAACAGCAATCTACAGAGAACTACGACTTTATATGTCCATGGATAGCAGTTGCATACTACTTTCAGCTAACTCTTGATTCTTCTGTTGACATAAATGCACATAACTCCAATTACCTAGAAACAGAAGACTAAATCTTCAACAGAGTAAGTTCCATTCTTCTATGCAACAATCATACCTAAAGGATTTATTAGCAGACCTGAGTGACATACCATCCTTAGGTTAGAAATTTGTACATGATAACTTCCTTGATTTTTTTTTATGTGGGCGAACCAAAAATAAGAATTTTCCTTTGGCCATTGATAATGAGAGACTTCTTATCTTAATACCAATTTTATCTCCATATATACATGTATACCAAATAGCAAGTATGATTGCTGTAACTGAGGGCAAAAGAATGTTTTGTGCTACATAGCTCTTGGACTTCCTATCATTTGAGAAAGAAAAACTTGAGCGTTTCGGTATTCATTCTCCATTGGGTGCGTGTTTGGATATAAATAGTAAACAATCTCTAATTTTACTGTACCATTATCTGTTTATCTGAAAGCTCTAGATTGTCTGTTTTTTCCTGGAGCACCTAATTGAATTGAGAGTAGCAAAACTAACAACTCAGATATGTACATGCCAGTGAGAAAACTCCATTTATTTTATACAGAGATGATATTTTTATTGCATTACTTCAGTTTGATTCCTTTTACAGGCTTAATGGTTATGTGAAAATAACATGCTTGCTTGGTTAGCTTTTGATTGTCACATGAATTCATTTATGTTGGGGCTAAATTCTATTTCTAGCATATTTTTTATTCTTGGTAACTTACTGCTTTGAAAGGGATGGCTAAGAAGGATCCATTGAAACCTGGTGAAACTTGTGATTGAAGACTATCATTATGCAAATGACCTACTCATATAGTTTGATTATGTTGGTTGTTGAAGTGATTACATAGTACTAAGTTTAAACGAGAATTCTAGGTGATTGCAAGATAACGATTATTATGTGAACATTGTTTTGAGTCCTAGAAAGTAACCCGTCAATTGATTGTCTATTTCGTATCAAGTTTCGTATGGAGATAATCATACTCATATTCTTAATTCTATTTTGTGGAGGCATGCAGATTTTCAATTTATCTTCTTTATTATTGCAGTTCTTGCGATCCGTTGCGGTTGTTTTCTACCTCTGTTAGAGAGTTAGACTGTCATTTCTTGATGGTATACGCAATTATAAATACGTATATGCATTTATAACTATCAAAATAATATGCGTACACTTGTTATTGTTGTATCCCAGGATCTACATCTAACACAAATCATGAACAATATACTGAAGAGTCAATAACAATTCAACCATCAACTGATTATGTTATGTTAAAGACTGTTCCCAAATGCAAATTTTGCGGAGCCAAAAAATTTGAATACGAACCACTCGCATTCTGTTGTCGCAAAGGCACTGTTAAGTTGATTTCACATCAAATACCACAAGAATTAAGAAATCTGTATCTAGGAAATACTGAAGAATCAAAGCATTTTCGAATCTACATAAGAACAACAACAACAACAACAACCCAGTATAATCCCATTTAGTGGGGTCTGGGGAGGGTAGTGTGTACGCAGACCTTACCCCTACCCTGGGGTAGAGAGTCTGTTTCCAAATAGATCCCCGACATCCTTCCCTCCAAGAACTTTCCACCTTGCTCTTGGGGAGACTCGAACTCACAACCTCTTGGTTGGAAGTGGAGGTTGCTTACCATCAGAGCAACCCCTCTTGTCTCGAACCTACATAAGAACATACAGTAATATATTTGCGTTCACATCCCTGGAAGTAGGCTATGACAAATAGCTGGCACAAAGGAATAAAGGTATTTATACATTTCGAGTTCAGGGACAAGTGTATCATTTCATAAATGACTTGATACCAAGTAATGAAAAA